AAAAAAAGGTTAAGTCAAAGGAGGGATCAGTACTGTGGCACAGTGGGTCACCACCTGTGATGCTGACATCCTGTATGAGAGCTGGTTAGAGACCCAGCTGCTCTGTTTCCAGTCCAGCTCCCTGCTAAGGCACCGGGAAAGGCACTGGAAGATGGCCCAAGTGCTTGGACCCCTGCCACCCACATGGGGAACCCAGATGTAGTTTCTGGCTCCTGGCATTGGTCTGGCCCAGTCCTGGCCATTGTGGCCATTTGGGGAGTGAACCAACAGGCGGAAGATCTTCTTTCTCAGTCACTCTGCCCTTTCAAATAAATGAAATCAATCTTTAACAAAAAAGTAAGTCAGAAGAGAAACGGCAAACACAGTGCTCCCTGATTCCCACACCATGGCAGGCTGGTTTGGACCACAGGTGCAACATACATTCATCCTTGGGCTCAAGGTTAAGTATGTGCCTTTGTGCACTGTTGCATCAGTTCTCGAATAGGCCTTCTCACTCCACCATTATTTAATTTTTTGAATAGAAAATAGCCAGTAGCTGCTTTTGTAAAGTAGCATTTCCATGACCCAGGTGGCCACAAAGTCACCCAGAAATCCCATGGATTATTTGTAGACAGGAACATAAAAAGTGGCCTGCTGGCAAGAATTCTGATACAAGTGATGCTGAATTTTAATCACGCCTGGCTACAGGTGATTCGATCTTACTGACTTGGTGACTTGTCAGGGTTCACCCGTGGTGTGGAATTGCCACATGGGACCAGAACTGGGGCTACTGTTGGCTGGGAGAGCTAGCCAAGAGAGACTTAGAATATTTTAATGTATTTGTTTTCTGGTATTGCCAGAGTACTTCATGGCATCCAGTGTGTCCACAGCAAAGTGGTAAAAGCCACACCAGAAGATAGGCCTGGCCCTTTACCACAAATATGAGGGGTTTTCAAAAACAATTTATGGAAAATCTGCATAATGAAAAAGCTACACATGGTTTTCAAACTTTTTTGTACACAAGATAAACATATCTGTTTGCAAAGTTATTTGTTTTTATTTATTTAAAAGGCAGAGAGACAGAGAGAAACACAGGCGAGAGGAGATCTTCCATCTGCTAGTTCACTCCCCAAATACCTGCAAGCCAGGAGCCAGGAACTCCATCTGTGTCTCCCACTTGGGTGGCAGGAAGTCAACTACCTGAGCTCTCTCTTGCTGCCTCCGATGGTGTCCACTAGCTGGAAGTCAGACTGTCCTAAGCTGTGTCTTAACTGCTGTGCCAAATGCCAACCCCTAAACTTGTCTTTCAATTCCATTTTTCCAAGAACTTTTTGCAGTGCCCTGGTAGGGCAGAACCTTTTGGTTTGAATATTACTGTGGAGAGTGTCTTACAGAGTAACACCTGGGCAAGCCAGCCCCGCAGGCTCAGTCCATCGCCCAAACCTGCAGGATTCTGCAGGTGTTCCACACTGTTAGGAAAATGGCGCAGTCTTATCTATGGCGCGATCTACACCCTGACACCATCCTAGGCTCTAGCCCCCCCCCCCCCCCCCCGGAAGCCGGGTGACCACATGGCCCAACCACCAGTGTCAAGCTCCACCCCCATCCTACTGGGATTCGCTGCTCCTACTTCCCTGCCTGCCTCTGGCAAAGTTCTAAAAGGACCTGTTCCTGAACAGGCTCTCGTCTCTCCTCGCTAGGTCCTCTCTCTCTCTCTCTCTCTCTCTCTCTCTCTCTCTCTCTCTGTCTCCTTCTCTCTGTTACACTCTTCTTCTCCCTTTTTCCTTCCTCGCCCCTTCCCCTCAGCCTGCTGGGTTTTCTCCAATAAACCCTTTCCCTTACTCTGGTGTTTGGTGTGTTTTGTGGCGATCTTACACATACCCCTGGAAGCCTTGCCCTACAGGTTCCAACAATGCTGGACCTCAGCCTGTGGTGTGGAGAATGCACAGTACAATGGTCTCAGACAGTTCTGCCTGCCAGTCTCGAATCTTGTTAGCAGAAGCTTCTTAGCGAAAGTGCCAGAAAAAGCTCCTGACAACCTTTGGTTTGGCTTTGAAGCTTAGACTGTAGAAGTCAAATTCACGAGTCCAGAAAGTTTCTTGGGTAGTTCTGCTATCTTCTTTCTGCTTCCAACTCTATTGAAATTGTACTTCCTTCTTTTTGATTATTGTTATGATGCCAAAAACACTAGACATCAGAGAAAAGCAAAGTGATTTTTGTTCTCTTGGCAGGAACTGTCCTGCCAAGTCCGCCTCTGGGCTTGTCTTCATTTTTGTGTTTCTCTTGGAGTTTTTCATTGTGTGCAGTTGATTAATGTAGTTGACTGCTAATCAATATTAGCAGTCAGGGCAGTGGAGATATTACTGAATTATAAATGATCTTTAAAGATATGTTCCAAGAAGCAATCACTTTTAGGGCTATATTTGTTATCACAATGTTGACAACCTTGATATCAGGACTTTAATATCCGGTGGGATAATGAAATTTCTACCCAACACAGATTTGCTCTGTCTTTGTACAATAATAACTGAATATTGCTTCAGGTTGGTGAATGGTAATATTTTCCTGGCCTCTATTCATATAAAGATTCTTGAGAGGGCTTCTTTTCGAAGCCATGAGATTTTGTAGACACAAGGATAAAGTCACAAAGGATAGGTACTTATCTGGGAAGAAAAAAACCATGTTTTCCTTGCCTTCTAGTTGGTCTTCTGCCCTAGGTAGATAACTACAGGTTATGCTTGCACCATAGGCCATTCCTCAGCAATTGACATATCAATGACAAGAATCTGGGGAAAGCAAATGCCTTTGTAGAGGTGAATGCTGGAGAGAGCAAAGAGGGAACCTGGCTGATAACATTGTTTCATGGGTACTTTAAGCCAGAGTGTCAGGGGATCTCAGATCTGTAGGGAACACTGCAGTTATGAGGAGGACCAGGAGAGGAAATGGCCCTCCAGGATCTCCACTACAGCAGCCCTCTTATGGTTTATTGTGTTTTAACAAATCTTGCAAGGGCCAGTGTGTGGCATAATGCATTAAGCTGCCTCCTGAGACACCAGCATCCCATATGGGCACCGGTTTGAGTCTGGCTGCTCCACTTCTGATCCAGGTCCTGCTAATGTGCGTGGGAAAGCAATGGAGCATGACCCAAGTCCGTGGGCCCCTTCACTCACGTGGGAGACCTGGAAGAAGCTCCTGACTCCTAGCTCCTGGCTTCAGCCTGGGCTATTTAGGGAGTAAACTAGGGGAAAGAAGATTTCTCTCTGCCTCTGCCTGTCCCTCTCTGCAACTCTACCTTTCAAATAAATCTTTAAAAAATTTATTTTAAATATCCTATGTGGGTGCATGGGCCCAAGGACATGGGCCATCTCCCACTGCTTCCCCAGGCACATTAACAGGGAGCTGGATTGGAAGTGGAGCAGCTGGGACTTGAACAAGGGTCAATGTGGTGCTGTGGTATAGCCAGGAAAGCCGCCACCTGCAGTGCTGGCATCCCATGTGGGCACCAGTTCGAGTCCTGGCTGCTCCACTTCCAATCCAGCTCTCTGCTACTGCCTGGGAAAGCAGTAGAAGATGGCCCAAGTCCTTGGGCCCTTGCATCCACGTGGAAGACCTGGAAGAAGCTCCTGGCTCCTGGCTTTGGATCAGTGCAGCTCCGGCTGTTGCAGCCATCTGGGGAGTAAACCAGCGATGGAAGAATTCTCGTTCTCTCTCTCTCTGCCTCTGCTTTTCCGTAACTCTGCCTTTCAAATAAATAAATAAATAAATCTTAAAGGGGGGGGGCAATATGGGATGCTGGTGCTGTAAATGGCAGCTTTACCCTCCAGCCCACAGCACCAGCCCCTAAAATAAATCTATAAAAAAAAAAAACCCAAACTGGCATTCTTTATTTTATTAGTTAATTAAAACAAATAGAAGAAGCCAACTTTTATAAGCCCTGTTGGTGTTAGTGGCAAGGACAACTTGTTTTTATACTTGGACTGTTATCATCTCACTATGCCAGTCTTACAATTTCTGATGTTACATGTTTTAAGTTATTAATGGTATTAGTTAATGAGCATTGGCTGAGCATCAGCTGTCTTAGTCACCTCTTCTGTTGATTTCCCATGGCACTGACCACCGTAATGACTAGGCTGATGAATATCAAAAACAGAAACTTCCCTATGGAGACTGTTCTGTAGAAAAACCTAAGTTACTCCAACCCCAAATGTGCTCTAAAATATCAACTTCCTTAAAGAAATGAATGAGAAACAATGAAGGCTTTATTCTGGTCCTACTGATAAAGATAAGAACAGCTGATGCTTTGTGTGATGGAACTGAGAGTGCTGTGTGCATAGTATCTCTTCATTCTCACCACAGAACTAGCAGGTGGTAAGAGGTGGAGCCAGGATGGAAATCTAGAAGCACCTGACTCCAGACTCTGCATTCCACCTACTGCACGTACTGATTGGACACTCTGCCTGGAAAACCCTGGTGATTGTATATTAAATGTGAGAAGGACCTGAGTTTGGTGGAGCCAGGTGTGGGTTGCTGTTTGAACAGGATTTGGCCTGCCAACTCATGAGCACATTTAAATCCCAAAAGTCTTTATATTAAAGGTTTTGGATTGATGTTCATTATTGTTGGATTGGGAGCCAGTATTGTGATGTAGCAGGTAAAGCTGTCTGCCACCTACAACACTGGAATCCCACTTACAACACTGACAGTTCATGTCCCAGCTGCTGCAATTCTGATTCAGCTCCCTGCTGATGGCTTGGGAAAATCAGCAGAAGATGGCCCAAGAGTTTGGACTCCTGCAGTCTACATGGGAGACCCACATGAAGCTCCTGGCTCCTGGTTTCAGTCTGGCCCAGTACTGACTGTTGCAGCATCTGGGGGAATGAACCAGCAGGTGCAAGAAATCTTCCTCTAACTCTGCCTTTCAACATAAATAAGTAAATCTTTTAAAAAATGGCTGATGGACTAATGGTGGAGGCTTGATCCAATATGGTGTCTGGGAAATGGGCCTGTTGGGAGGTCTTTGGGTTGTTGGGGTCATGCTTCCACAGTTAAAAGAGCTGTGTGTAGCACAGCTGCTCCCTGTCTGCTTCCTGGCTACCCCTGTCATCCTGTATATGCTCCACTATCCATCAACTTCTTCATATACAAGACCAGTGAGCCACCTGACCTTAGCCTGTGAACCTACAAAACTGTGAGCCAAAGAAAACCTTCCTTCCCAAGTTGCTCCTCACAGCTGAGCACCACAGATGGAATCTGAGTCAGTCCTTAGCTTGTCAGGCAGGGACCTCTGTGCCTGGGCTTTGCAACAGCAGGTCAGAGACACAGCAGGACTAAGATTTGGCCCTCACTTATACTCCTCTCCTGGTATGGAAAGTGACTACTTGGGAGCAGTTATGTCAGGTGCAGAATGGCAGTTTGTCATCTCACATCAAACATAATGGATCTGAGATACAAAATCAGAGAAGCCTGGCAAAGACTTTGAGAAATAGAACAAAACATGAGTCCATAAGCTGTTCCATAAACATGCTTTTATAGATGGCTGCAGAATAGGATGTTACGGTTACTAGATGTACTTTTGGAAGTGAATTTAGAAATGCAGTCGGCCTGGTGCACTAGAACGAAGAGCTAAAATCTATGAGGGCTGTGGAAAGCTGAGAGTATCCTTAGAAACAATAGAATTAAACATAGCCGACTTCATTCCTCTAAACAGAGGAGCAAAGAAAATGGGACAGCCTATGTTGCCTTACTCTGAACTTCTGAAAATCCTGTCAAGGCCTAAAAGATTAGAATCATCAGCCTGAAAAGATTCATTAGGTAGGGAGCAACTAGGGTAAAAACTACCCATGAAGTGAAGAGCTGACTGTGGGGTTTAAAGAAATGAAAAGGATTTTTTTTTTTTTTAAAGATACCAGAAAGCTTAGGGACTATGAGAAAGAAGCTGTAAGTGATGAGAGCTATCAAAGAACAATGATCACAGGGAAGCAGACATCAGAGAAGGTAATACCTTTCTCTAATGGCAGAGATTTTAATGGGGAAGAAAAATGAAGAACATTCGGAAAGAAAACCTGCTGAACTGAAACAATGCTTTTCCCACTAAGGTCATAGACTGGATCGAGTGGTGTGAAGTCACTGATGTAATGAGATTGTGGAACTGGAAGAACAGTTATCTGTGAGGCCAGCTTTCGGCTCCTGAACCTGTTTGCACAGACAAATGGTAAAGCCCATATCCCCAATAGTTTGTAGCCAGGGCTCTGAAATTCTGGTCATCCAGAAACACTGGGCCTGCAAGCTGACTCTCACATGTGATGGGACAAGACATGTATGTTACTTAGAAGGCAAAACGATTTGAGATGTTCTATACCTTATATACAAGTATGACTCACTGTGTCACGTGCCTTCTTTTTTTTTTTTTTTTTAAATATAACATCTATTGTATTTATTGTTGAGGGAGAGAGAGAAAGAGAGACTATATGCTGGTTTATTCCCCTAGTGCATACAAGGGCCTGGGCTGGGCCAGGAGCTAAGAACTAAATCCAGGTCTCCCATGTGAGTGACAGGGCCCAAAACACTTTAGCCATCACCTGCTTCCCTTCAGGGTACACATTGGCAGGAGGCTGGAATCAAGAGCTATTGTTGGAACTGCAGCCCAGGCACTGCCATATGGGATGTGAATGTCCTGACAGGGATCTTAGCCATTGGGCCAAACACCCACCCTGACCCTGACCTGCCTTCTTGTCTGCTACTGTGGAAATTTCATTGCTGATGGAAAATTAGGCTGAGTGAGAAATAAAAATTTGAGCTTTTCTACCATAACATGTATGGTTATCCCACGCTTGTGAAGTAATCTAGTGGACGTTCCAACCCTGTGACTCAGTGCATAGAAGAATGTCTGTTTTGTATGGTGAATGTAATTGAATTAATTCGTATAGCTTACTTTCTGCTCAATGTTCAGATTGACTTAATGCAAAATGAGTTTTGATCTTTCAAAGCTTGTGGTCATCTGCATGTCATCCTGGACTCATCATGTTGGGGTGGATTGCTGTTTTGTCTCGGGAACTCCTGGTTTCTGTGAGCTTTGCTGATGGTCAGTGAATTATTTGATCTGCCTCAGCAATTAGAGGCCATGAGCTTACCTCGAGTTGAAGAGAGATTATAAGACAGTACTGGGCTGGCATCACAGAGCGCATGAGTGAGCCACTGTGAGTGACACTAGCAACCCTTCGAGTCCTGGCTGCTCTGTTTCCAATTTGGCTTCCTAGTACTTGGATCCTTGCCACCCACATGGGAGACCCAGATGGAGTTCCTGGCCTCTGCCTTCAGGCTGGCCCATCCCTGGCTGTTGTGGCCATTTGGGGGCTGAACCAGTAGATGAATGATCTCTTTCTCTCTCTGTCTTTCTCTGTCTCTGGTCTTTCTCTGTCTCTGTCACTCTGCATTTCAAATAAATCTTTTTTAAAAAAGAATAAAGAATCAATACTCTGTGTCTATATTGTCTCTCACAATTACCCTCCTCCACTGAGGAACATGGTGAAGTTCAAATGTACTCCTGCCTGTGATTTTCCTTACCAGAATGATCTTTGTAAAACCCAGAGTATTTTTTTTTTTTCAGAGTTAGAGAGAGAGGGAGAGAAAAAGAGATCTTTCATCCCTGATTCACTCCTCAAATGGCTACAATAGCAAGGGCTGGGCAAGGCCAAAGCCAGGAGACAGGAGCTTCTTCCAGGTCTCCCACATAGCTGCATGGGTCCAGGCACTTGGGCCATCTGATGCTTTCAAGGCCATAAGCAAAGAGCTGGATTGAAAGAAGAGCTGCTGGAACTCGAACTGGTCTCCATATAGGATGTTGGCTCTGCAGGTATTGGCTTAACCTGTTACTCCACTGTGCTGGCCCCAAACGGTGGAATAGTTATCCTTTTTCTGGGAGGTTTTCTCTACCTGAAATGCTTAAAACTTTATAACTGGATACTAAGTCCAGGCCTGCATCTGCAGCGTGTAAGGTGTTTTGAAATGGGAAATCAAAACCCATGCAAACAACCTTATTCTTTTACTTAAAGCATTCTTGCTCCAAACGACATCCTGTTCTGGATTTATAGGCCACCTAATTGAGAAATAAGCATCCTAAATACTGAGCGTTTTTGTAGAGTTTCTCATTTTAAAGTACACTGCGGTCTTCAGTGGAAAGCCGCACTATTTTTATAACCACTGATTTCAAAGTGTTCTCTCTGCAATGGGTATTATTTTATTTGTTCTTGCTCATTTTATAATAAATGGTTCATTTTTTTGAGCACTAAAGGAAAGGGAAATAAAATGGAACATAACCTGAACTGCTCTTCATCTAAAGCAATTTCTTTTTACCATTTTGAAATTTCTCTGTCCCATACCCTGAGAGTGCTATTTTAAAATAAAGGCATTATATGAAAATGCAGAAAAGGGGCCAAGTTATAAAAACCACTTTTTTTTTAAAGGCACACAAATAGGAGCCAGCACTGTGGTCTAGCAGGTAAAGCTGCCACCTGCAGTGCTGGCATCCCTTATGGGCACAGTTCCAGCCCTGGATGCTCCACTTCTGATCCAGCTCCTTGCTAATGTGCCTGGGAAAGCAGTGAAAGATGGCCCAACTGCTTGGGCCTCTGCACCCATGTGGGAGACCTGGAGGAAGCTCCAGGCTCTTGGCTTTGGATTGGCACAGCTCCAGTCATCTCGGCCATTTGGGGAGTAAACCAGCAGATGGAAGATTTCTCTCTCTGCCTCTGCCTCTCTGTAACTCTGCCTTTCAAATAAATAAATAAATAACTTTTTTTAAAAGCACAGGAATAACAAGTTAAAAACTTGGAGCTCAATAACAGAAATCAACAGCTTAGGGATTTGTCCACACAGAAACCCACTTCCTGCTGGGGTTGACATTTTATCAATGGGAAGGAATGGTTCTTTCACTGAGTGAAAGTTTGTCCTTTGTAGCATGCACACACATATATTGTGTGTAGCTGTGTTACATCCTATGGCGTAAGTTGCCTTCCTTTTCCCATCCAGGCCTTGGAACAAGTTTACTTTCACTCTGCACAGACCCTGAATTGCTCAAGGTGGTGTCTTTCTGACATATTTTGACTCAGGCTTAGAATACAAATCATGCATTTTATATCACAATGCACAAACGCACACATGTACCTGCAGTAATGTTTCAGGAAGCAGTACTCACACTTCACTTCACATAAACAGATTTTTCTAAGATTTTCAATTCTTCTCTGTTTCATTAAAAGAGCTTCCTGGGAGCAGACATCTAGCCTAGTGGTTAAATAACATGCCCACCTTCCATGTAGGGGTACCTGGGTTCAATTCTTGGCTCTGGCTCCTGACTACAGCTACCTGCTTTTGCAGACCCTGGGAGGCAGCAGTGATGGCTCAAGTGGGAGACATGGATTGAGTTCCTGGCTCCTGGCTTTGACCTTGACCCAGCCCCAGCAGTAGTGAAAAATCTGGGGAGTGAATCTGGGAAGTGAATCAAAAGATAGGAGATTTCTCTCTGTGTATTCATCTGTTTCTCTCTTCCACTTTCTCTCACCTGATTAAGACCTACTGAATTACCTAAAACCCACAAAAGGTCCCAGGGCTCAATTAAGGGCACACAGCTCTCAACATTCAGCTGGGACCCACCTGTAGTTGGAATCTAGAAAGTGTGTTCTATACTTTTTGACCTTGAAGATGAGCTACATGACCTATTTTCCTATTTTGATCTTGCAAATAGGAGGTCAGTGGACTTGTATTTTACTGATAACTTGTGGGTCTTTGTGAAATTAGAACAGGGCAGGGCAGGGTGGGGCCCTGCAGATCCTGCCCAGAGCAGAGTGCAAATGTGAAGCAGTGGCTCCTCCTTTTGCCTATGTGCCCTGGGGTGGTGGTTATAATCCCAGAAACCCACTGGGTAACAACTGATACAGCGCCCCTCCTCACATGCATCAGCTCCATCCTTTCATTCCAAGGATGGAGCTGGGCCAGGGGTCAGGTCAGAATTACTAGTTGCGGCCGGCGCCGCGGCTCACTAGGCTAATCCTCCGCCTAGCGGCGCCGGCACACCGGGTTCTAGTCCCGGTTGGGGCGCTGGATTCTGTCCCGGTTGCCCCTCTTCCAGGCCAGCTCTCTGCTGTGGCCCGGGAAGGCAGTGGAGGATGGCCCAAGTGCTTGGGCCCTGCACCCACATGGGAGACCAGGAGAAGTACCTGGCTCCTGGCTCCTGCCATCGGATCAGCGCGGTGCGCCGACCGCGGCGGCCATTGGAGGGTGAACCAACGGCAAAGGAAGACCTTTCTCTCTGTCTCTCTCTCTCACTGTCCACTCTGCCTGTCGAATAATCAAAAAGATAAAAAAAAAAAAAAAAAAGAATTACTAGTTGCAAGGTCCAAGTATAGTGGAGCCAGGGGTGGTGAGTGTCCTCTTAGAAGTCCACAATTCAGAAGTAATTGATTCCTGGTGGCTTCAGTATTCTATAAGTAGATACAATTGCCTGATGAACCACCCAGCATTTAACGGCTGCCTCCAATCAAGTGCACGTTTAATGAAGTCCACACAAAGAAATTAGACCTAAGTATAAATGCTGAGTCACCTCACAGGAAAGTGCGAAGCGTGAAGGGGATTCCTGTGATATTTTAAGAAATAGAACCCGTGCTTTCCTTAGTAATGGCTTTGAGAGTAAAGTGTTACCCAGTGAAAAATATGAGTATTATCTCTGTTTACACATGGAGTAATTATGTTTATAATTCATAATTAAAAACAAAGCCTAAGCCGCTCGGGAAGATTGCTATATGGCACTTGAATTATGTAATATTTCAACTTATTTTTGTGATGAAATTTTAGCATAAAAAGATGATGAAAAATATTAAACTAGCTTTGAATCTGTAATAAAGCACATACTTCTTTTTTCAAAAAAAATTAAATCTGAGAGGCATAGAGAAAGAGACAGAGAGAGAGAAATCCTATCCACTGGTTCATTCCTCAAATCCCAGTTACCTGCAGTGGCTGGGGCTGAGGGAGGCCAAAGCCAGGAGCTTGGAACTCAATCCATATCCCACATGGGTGGCAGGAACCCAGCGACTTAAGTCATCGCTGCTGCCTCCTAGGGTCTGCGTTTCAGGAAGCTCGCGTCAGGAGCAGGATATTGTCAGGGGTACTCTGTTAGGGGACGTGGGTGTCTTAACTGCTACGCCAAATGCCTGCCTCAAG